GACAAATTCTATACATATACAGTTACAGACTAAGGGATTGTGACTAGGTTTTAAAATGTATCGGAAGATTTACTGAAAATTTGATTGAAGTATAATGTTTTTAGTTTTTAAAATATTAGGACAGATAATGTTAGAGATAATACTAGATGCTACCATGGCTGAATTGTTCACTTAAAATAACAATGTAAGAACAATGATTAACTGTTGTATCTTACAGATCTTGAATAATGCATTACTATTTTTATCAAAATCAAATGTCCAAATTAATTATTAATGATTTATAATATATTTTTACAATTGATAAATATTTTACCAACTTTTAAATTAATGGTACAGGTACATGAATGTGTCATTAGTCAGAAGACAAATACAAGACAACTGTTTAAAACACTATCACAAATGAGTGAAAGATAGTCATTTAATATTGGTTTCACTTCTATAATTCAAGATGTGCTTGTAATAGAGCAAATTATTACAGAGTAGTGTTGAGTGATTTCATTTTTGCATACACATAGTTACTGTTGCATGGGCACACTAATTTCATAAAAACATTTTGTTTAATGTTTAAGTATGGTACTTCAAATAAGATGTTCAACTCTCTCAGTAAATATATGTCACTTGACAGACTATCAAATGTTGCGAATTTAGTGCTACTGTGATATCATTTCACAACCTAGTATAAGAATCATGTCTACAATCTGCTGCAATGCTGTTAGCTTGACATATGCATATCTCATGTTACGAGAATCTCCTGCCATGACATTACAATGCAACATACATTCACATGGTTAGGAAAGTTGGACAGTGCTAATTCAAACTTCTGTCGTCGCAATTATCTAGCTTACAACAATAAAGCAGAATCTATTTAGTAGTTCAACAAAGAGTACAGAAAGATAAGCTGTCAAAGTTGGCAGCTAAAAATCAAGTCATATACCCTTACTTCACTTCATGTACCCTCACTTATTTGTCTACATATTTTGAACTATTTCAACACACAAACTTTTAATGTACAACTACTAGATGTTTCAGTATTGTTTGTTGTGAGTGAGTGAGTCAGATACATGTACCATAAATTCAAGAAGCAGATGTTCAAAGTTGATCAGAGACCATGAAGACTGTGGTTTGATTAAAGAAGGATCCCTCATTGTCACCTCCTCCAAAGACTAATATTTTTTGCCTTTTAAAAGTCAAGTCCTTGTTTTGGTCTGGGTTGTCAAGACATATCATACTATGTCCGGCCCGTGCACTTATTGGTAGGGAATGCTTCAGTTGTGTCCATATACATGTATCTGTTGAAAGGAACACAAGATAATTTTTTTACACTTTTAAGTGGCTCAGACAAATTTGTTCAATTAGTGGTGTATACGCACATCCAGCATACAATAGATACACTTATTGGTTTGAATGGGCTTTTATTGGAGATGTGCTTGTTATTGAGAAAATAATGTATTCCCTTTCAAAATCACATGTCAAAGAATCAGGTGGCTAGTTCTTTGCAACATGATTGACATATATATCATCTATACAACACTGATAAGAGTTTGTGTTAACAATACACTTACCAAGATGGAATATGAATGAATCTCCCAAAGCATGGTCACCATCAAAGCCACCATGTATTAACAACCGATTATTAGACAACCCAACGGCAGCATGCCAACTGGAAAATAAAAATGACAATGTAATCACATTTGATGCATATTCAGGTTGAGTCTACTATGTGTTAACATCCAAACCTTATATGGCTTTATATCAGCTGACTATTTTAGTACTCACCTTCTAGGAGAGGGTGGTGTTCCTTTAATTTCTGGTTTTGTAAAGTCCATCATGCCTGTAACAATATTTCAGCAATGTTCATTTTTATGTGGCAATCTGAACATGTAATCAATTAATAGCCCAAGCACAAAGGTTTTTCTGGTCCAAGATAAAGTGTCAAGGCCACAAGGAGGATTTCTTATTCAAGAAGATCCTTAACATAAAATCTGTCACCCTACGACATATATATACGTTCATTAAATTATATGTTTTTGGAATTTTGGAATATGTTATGAAAACTCTTACGTGAAATTAATATGCATCAAAGTTCAGGAAAGTTCAATACTCACTAAGATCCAGAATATGTAGATCATTATAACACATAGGTGCATCCCAGCCACCAAAGATAATTAGCTTATCATTCACTAAAGTCGCCGAGTGCCTGAAAGTACACAATATATTACATTATTATTAACAGTATCACCTTATGGAAATAATGAATTCAGGGAATATCACAAACTCGTAAAAATTAACAATTGCAGCATGTGAATCTAGTATAATACGAGTTTGTCACAAGAAATAATAAAGTATACACGGTGAGCCAATCAACCATCACATAGCGGTTATTGATGGTATCCTACTTTTTGGTATTCCTGGGATAACCTTTTTGTTAGAATTGTGTATAAGCATGTTTATCTGTTGTTACTAATAACTGTATGGATGACGCAGACTCAAAACAGGTTTGATTCTTGGCAGAGCAATATACAAATTTTGTTAGTTACAACAGTGATGCTTAAAATTACATTGTTCCAAACCTTTTGCCCTAACATGTGTTGTTCACAGCTTCGGCTTAAACACAATTCAAAAGTGTTCATAATCTACCGTGTATGCATTTCATTTATTCCTGCTCCGCCCACTGTAGTGCTAGATGAAACATGCTTTTTTCAATCTATACTCATCTTACTACAAGTGACAATAGGATCGTTGTAGTGTTTTCATCATCTGACACGCTTTTTTTTTACGCTCTGTTTTGTAAACTTAAGTATACACTACACCTTCTCTAGTATTAGTGTATTGAATTTATATGTCATTTCTTTTTATATGTTTGTTTGTTATTTAAATATTGGATGTATGAAGTTTTTATATCCTACAATAATAATTTAATAATAATAAAATTATTAAAATCTTTTTTCTGCTTGTAGTATAGATTTACTGAGAGATAAGAGCCCAAAATGGCAACAAAAATGATTCTTTCAGTTACAAGTTCCATCACATAATGATGGTGATTCTAGCAATTGCCTTCAACATCTCTATAAAGTTCAAGCGCTGCACAAGTTTTTATCTCAAAGCTGAGTATACAATATTCAAAGATGTCGTCATGTATTGTGCGCTATGTTTGTTCAAAATCAGTCAGTTTAAAAAATGTTCAAACCTCTAAAAATAAAATTTCTTTAGTCATTTTAAGACCCCAGTGTAATTATAGTACTACAGAGACGCAAGTTCATAATTTTTCCAAATTCACGAAATGTTCTGGTTCATAGTTTATAATAAACTGCACTCACCCTGATCTAGGAAGAGGTTTTTCTCCCATTACAATTGGTTCATACCAACTCTCCGTTGCTATTGAATGAAAAACAAAATCATTTATTAAAATTGTATTAATTTGATAATATCAATACCGCCTTGTAGATAAAATGTAACAATAACAGTAAAGGTTTCAATTACCTACCTGGGTTATACACATGTACTTGATTACTGCAACCATCTGGCTGTGGGTCTGGATTTGGATATACACCACCAAATACAAATAACTCACTACCAAATAAAGTCGTACTGTGATATGCTCTCGTTGGTGCTTTACCATTTGTCTGATAAACAACAAACAGATAAACAACAATAAACTAGAAATTGCATTTATTTTATGCAAATATCATTAAAATCTTTCATTTATGTAAGTGCATGCATTAGAGCAAATGTTACCTGCACACTACTCAATTTGGCTTAAAAGTGACAGTAATAGAATCTCAACCCCTAGGTTATTGGTGATCATGAGACGACAAATCTCTATGTGTGAGAAATTTCATCTTAGGAACTTGGTATCTGGGATTCTATCTGTATTGCTCACATCACATCAAAAGGTTATCAAACAAATTAAGCTTGTGTGTTTAGAGTAGATGTGGATGTTTAATTTTGCATCACAAACCATACTCTCTATCATCCATTGAATATAATTACAAACAAATAAACAAACATTCACACAACAGACAAAACATTCAATATAGCACATTCTGTATTCGATAATCATATAATCTAGTCTGTCATTTGTGGATTTTGTCTGAAGCAATGTTTTTAACAATGTTGCATTGACCATGCCTGCTCACATTGTAGTTTCAGCTTGTATGTGTTAAGTATTGTGCAATTGGAAAGTAATCTGTGCGTCTCTGTTATTATCAAATCATGTTTATGTTTGCAAATGTTCCCACACTGTGTGGGATAAATAGACCATTTTCCGTTCACTGCGAGAATCACGCGTTATGCGTGAAATCGAACGTAAAAACAGGACAAACAAAGGTCATAGCGTCGTAGTCGCGTCAAACATCGCGTGGGATTCGACAAACGCGAAAGTATTTCGGGGACATTTCCATGCTTAATAATGTGCTGTCCACATTTGATGATAGACAATTTCGATTAAGTAAGGGTATTCGGAAGCAATATTCCTCTGTCGAAGATTAGCCGGTCAATGTAAGCTACGAAATAAAGAAATTCTAGTTCAAAATCAAATCGTTCGATTTTTGCGGCAGACGTTCGACGCGCGTCTTTCATGCATCTCGTGAGATCTCGCAATTGTACGGAAAATCACCTATTTTTTTTCACACTCGATCTGAGCAGTCAGGTATGTGAGAATAGCGATATAGTGGAGGTAATGTGCACTTTAAGGAATATCTCTTCAATGAATAGAATAGAATAGAATAGAATAGAATAGAATAGAATATTGCTTTGAATTTGACAATTCTTTTTTGGTTTCTACACATGTAGAAGGTAATAAAGTTAAAAACAAACAAAACAAAAAGTGTGACAAACAAACAAGAAAAAGTAAACTACTGTGGTAATATTATTTGCTCTCTTATTGTATACACTGTTTTGATATATTTAATTAACCCCAGTAATTGTTGTCTAGTATGGGCATTCATAATACATATAAATTTGTCCTTGTTTTTGATACCATTGATGTTATCAAACAAGGAATATAATTCCTGTCTTTCAGATTCATAAAGTACACATTCTGTGATAAAGTGCACTTCATCCTCTATGACTTGGCACTTGATGCATTTTCTGTCCTCAATATTTGTTTTTGGGCGTGTATGTCTACCTGTTTCTATATGTAATTTGTGGCTGCTTAGTCTGCCTGTTTATCATTAAGCTGATCTATGTATACTTCTTGTTTTATATCATTTTTGAAAAGCTGATATGTTCTAAGTTTTGAATCAGCCCTTTGCATGTCCTTCTTCCAGATATCAAGACAGTGACTTGCAGAGATTTTTTGAAAGTTTAGCTTTGTGACATCTTGATTAATACTGTATTCCTTTTTAATTTTTGTTAATGACTTGAGTTAAAATTATTTGATATTTGCATGGGCTGACAGTAAATAAGATTGTGTTCCATCCACTTTAGCAAGCAGACTCTACCAATCTAGAATTGCAAATGAGAATGACAATTGTTGAAAATGTTGATCATACCTTGACTAATGACCATGTCCATGTTTCTACATCCAGTACATGAATATCATTGTACCATCTAAGGTTCTTAGATCCACCAAATACATACACACATTTGACAATTGGATCATACGTAGTAGAGTGACCCATTCTGTACTGTGGCTTGGCATTATCACTGTTTAAGATGGTTGGTACTCTCCATGTTTTCTGCTCTGTTGGTGAGAAAGCAATAATAAATACACGTTTTCTTCCACATAAATTTGTTACATGGTGAAGAACATACTGGGTATTTTGCAGTCCAGTGAAGCTGGTAGAAATACTTGCAAGTGTATGGACTATTATTATTGGCTAGTACCTTGTTCAAAAAATAGTACATGTACTAGTACAGATAAAAGGGTATATAACATTCATAACCAAATTGCATACTTTACTAGAGAATTTAATTAAAATTTTATAGATGTGTCAATCAAACTTCTTGAGTAGATGACTTACCTGTATTGAGTAGCCAAATAGAATCTTTACTCAGTTGCTGTCTTGTTCCCTGACCTCCAATTAATATCGCTTCACTGCTATTAATTGTACACAGGGAATGACCCCATCGTTCGCTTGGAGCTAAAGTAGAAAATTGTTTGAAGCTTGAGTTTAAGAGAAAGGAGTTAGGATGACATGCTGTGTTTGTATAATGAATTATTTAGTGCCATCAACCTGCATAAGATTTAGAGCTAGTGTGGCCATTTTGTGTGACATGCTAATCATATCTAGTGATATGTGATATTTTATAGATATTTCATACATAAAATATTTTGCAGGTACAATACAGCTGATAAGTACCATCTGGTATAACTATTGCATAAATTTTGTGATCTGTAAATACTAGTCCTAGTACTTTTATAACAAATAAATAATGGTCCCTAAGATGGACATGAATCAGACGTTCATCCAAAGCAAGCTGTGCATGCTGGGAAGAAATGGATAGACTTTAAGAATAACAGTTATTACTGAGCACAGTAATCAGCCTCAGAGAATAGGTTATTTGAATAATACTTGTTATAGTGGTTGCAGAGTGAAAAAAAAAAAACACATTTTTTTGGACTATTTTTCCATTCTTCTTGTAGTCTCCTAGTTGCATTTTTAGTTTTCTTTGTTACTGGATTCAAAGAAGGAGTATTTTCTGTTTCTTCATAGCTTGGCTTTCTCTTTTTTTTGTTGCTACCTCTAGCAGACTTTGTTTTTGAGTCTCCATTCATGACCTACATAAAAGGAAAGTCAAATTAAAATTACATTTTACCACGATAAGAATGTGACTGCCATGAATCCTGGTCATTGGAAATTATTTTATTTTTCTGAATAGTCAGTGTCTCTTGAGACTCATGAAATGGCTGTGAACGATTAAAACTATTCTTCAATGTGATCTGTTGACAAAAGTGAAGTATTCCTCCACCCTGCCCTCACTTTTCAAATCACCGTTTTTTGTAAAAAAAAATGCTGCCACTTTGCCATCAAAATCAGTGCTAATAGATCACAGCACATTTACTTTCCAATATTTGGAAATTTGCAGGGTATTGTGTCAGTATGAAACAGCATTCAGTATGACAACAAACTTGAACTGTCAGGTCAGAGGACAATTTTCAGGTCAAAACGTGCAGAAAAACAACATGGTGGAAATTTCTACACGCTAGTACAGTACAGTACATGGCACATCTGTTTTAGACTACACACCACAATCCCAAGGATTAGGTGCACTTACTTTTGGTGTAACAAAACTCTCTTCAATATCCTGGTTTTCATCTGCACTATTCATTGCTGTTGATATATCTTGTAGCATGTCATTTCTTGACAATTCTAAACCACTATCTACAGTGATGGACGGGACATCTTCAGCTATTACTTGTAGTTTGGCCATTCTCCCTTGTTGTAACATATGTAGGCTTTTCCTATGAAAGTCACTGTCCCATTCTCCCTGCCAACATACAGCTCTATAAACATAATACAGTTATATTTTATGTGTTAAGCATCGTTACCATAATGGTCTACGATTAAAAATAAACTTTAGATTACTGCAATCTCCCTATGTTCTACTGTGCTTCTGTTGAAAAAAAATGAAAAGATGTGCAATGCATTTATTTCATTCCACTAAAAGAATGTCGTGGTTGCACATTTTCATTTTAAGACCATTCTTTTACTTCATTGTCAAGACTATGATTACTTTAAATAAAACTTAGTGAGTTGCCAAGCTCATATTTGTTTTGTGTGATGAGGCAAGTTTCAAGTTCAGGTTAGTTAAACTTTATATTCAATATGTTCTAAGTTTTGTTTTTACTCCATGTTTGCCTAGACATATATGTAGTGTATGAAGAATTTTTTTTTTAATATCATTCTACTTGCCCCTAAATTCCTCTGAATATATGACAGGTATCAATTTCATTATCATATTACCTAATCAGGTTGAATTTACCAAAATACTTGTTGTATGTTGCATGTATTTGAGATATTTTGTGGTAAACATGACAAGTACTTCACCTGTTATTCTGAGTGAGGATTCCAATTTCAACTGGTTCTGTTTCACTATCCAACACAATTCTGATATGTAACTCACTTCCAGTTTTATCCCATTGCCCTAATGTAAAACATACTAAATATTCTGGCAATGGGAGAGGAAAATGGCAATGGTAATGTCTGCAGTCTTCTTTACTACAATGAAATACAAACACAAATATAGTGTACAATAGTTACGTCTATAAACAAAATATTTGCAGAAACTTGAAAAGAAACAGGCTGATGAAAAATCACTAATATGCATATGCAGTGATTTTTATTGTACCAAAACAATCGGTACAGATGTGTATTAGAATATTTTATTGTTTAATCAAAAGTATTTTCAGGTCATTGTAAATCAATGTTTGATGTATTCATTAACATTACAGTATGAAACAACAATACTAATAAAAGAAAGCTTAGTAAGAAATCCCATGTGCTGAGAGTATTGGAGACACATTAAAAATAATTCAAAATTACTTGTACTTGAGACATTGATGGAATAGCTGAAAACTGACTGATAATTATGCAAATCAGATAATCAGTATGCACAGATTTGAGTGTAAAACTAATATATAAGTTCTGTGCATTGTCATAGAGCTTTTATTTACCAAGTTTTATTGAAATGGAATAATTAGTAACTGAGCTATCAGTGTGAAAGCTGAAAATTGGTTAAGTATACAAATCAGGTAATTAATATGCATAGATTTTAACGCAAAACTAATCAGGTCTGTGCATAGTCATTCCAAATGTTGGTTCCCCGGGCATCTCTAATAAATAACCTATTTAACAGTTGGATATCATATGATATCATCGAAGATTGGGCACAAATCAGTTGTTTTCAACCTCAAAGGGCGATGATACTCAAATTTTGAGGAAGCAGGTTGTTTGGATCGGACGGTTTCATTTGTTTTGAGTTTGTTATGTGTCTAGATAGATAGCAAAGTTTTTTTTGGTGAATCAACAACATAATCTGTTCCAATAAAGAATTTTTATATGTCAATCAAAATATTTTAACAATACATTATTGGAACGTCTGTTATGGAAACAAAGGGTTGTATCACTCATGGCGAAAGCAGAAATCATGATGATTAGATTGTATTCAAGTATTGGATAAAATACAAAACTCTTCAATCATAACTTCTCTTTCCTTTTAAAAATTGCTAATCACCTCAATGATGCAGTTTTCAACTGAAATCCATGCCAACACATCGTGCTATGACATCGTTTTATTTCCGCAATGCAATTTTAAGGATCACTACTATTCGGGAAACTTTAGGTTCTACCGACAATACCATGCAGCATTCTGATTGGTTAATGGCATTCTTGACCCATCAGGTCAAAGGACACATGCCGATCAACTAATGTGTCACAAACATGGTGGCTCTGCGTTTTTTACTGAAGTGATCGAGTGATCAAAAATAAACATTGGCGGTACTTCCTCTCACAGTTCTCGCTCGTGAAAGTATGGCCGCAGGATACACCGCATCACTCGTGAAATAACTTCCATACGTAACGAGAGCCATTAAAAAAAATAATCAAATACAAACGTTTATCAACGCTTTATAAGAACCTTTCACAGCAAAATTATTCTAAAATCCCTAAACAAATGGTTAAATTGTCGAGCAGAACTTTTTTATTTGTTAT